ATTCCATCCTTTTAAAAAGTTGGCCTGACACCTTCCAGTTGGCGATATGTTGGGGTTAGTGGTGCGGTCGGTCGCATTACCACGAACAAACAAGAAACAAAACAACGGGTGGGTCCTGTCAAAGACAGGATGGAACAAGCTATAAAGCCCCCATGTCGACGAAACACCACACTCTTCCTACCTACTCACACAGCCACACCGGCATACCCCAACAAGAAGGTACATGTACTCGTCCGTCGCACACAACGGCGATCTGGGTGCCGTGATACAAGATGGGCGGCTTTAATTAATTTCCATAGATGGTATTCGGGGTTTACCGAGGATTTGTTTCGTCGGAAAGAATGCTGTCTTGGTACCGAACAACGTTCATGCATGCAGAGCTAGGGTTACATGGGCGGGCGAGTGTGGGTGAGAAGATTTGGAAGGAAGAAACAGGATTCGCTTTGATATTGCAGTAGATGATTCACGAAGGCCGCGGAAGGGGATCGATCCATGGACCGATTGGGTTGACAGGAGATGAATGTCACTTTATTAAGGTAGATGTATAGATGGATGCATATTGGAGTATACTATAGATGGTGGGTCGTATAGGCGAAAGGGACTGCGAGGGCATGTACTTGTACCATGATGTGCCGGCAGATAGCGCGGGCGATGCGAGATTTGGGGATGGGTGGATCTGAAAGCGTGATTCGAGTGTTTGGCAGGGCAAGGGGGTGCGGCAAGACAAGAGATCAAGGCTAGACTAGTGGCTCACAAGCATCTGCACAGTAGGTAGTTAGGAGGAAGCGCTGGCGACAGGATACTTTGTAGTTAAGGATGCGTGTTCAAGGAGAATTAAATTAAGATGTGGCCAGCGAACATCTCCCGAGGCAAGCACGCAAGCCACTCAGGTTGCGCCTGCCGCAGGCCAGTCCGGCACTCTGAAACCAAGCGCCGCTAGTCCCCTGTTGTCCCTGTTTCAGACGCCACACCCACCTTGGACACTCCACCACTCCACCACTCCACCACCTGTCATTCATCCCCAGTGACCTCCTCTTATTGTACTTCTACGCGGTAACCACTCACTTACTCGCTGCCCACACTACTTACGGCAAGGTCCCTGGATGGAACCACGGGTCCCTGCGACGGTTTGTTTCACACGCCCTGTGGCCCAATCGCTGTTTGCTGTTTCACTCGCCTTCGCCTGCCTTCCCTAGGCCGCAGCCGCATTCCTCACCACTGCCGATACCTCTCCACCATCCACGCCTCCAAGCCCGCCTTGAGGTATGCAACAACAACAACCTTTGCACCGTGAACCCCATGAGAATCATGGCTTGTTGGCACATGACGACGCCAGACGTGTCGCTGGGCAGCAGCCCGGCGCCCATGACCATGTACGGCGCCTGCACCACGCAGCCGCGCTTGATATAAAATGCCCATGCTATAGTCCCCACTGTGAATCTATCGAACCAGAGGTACAGCTGCATACCACCCATCAGAAACGTGAAACAGGTACCCGCGGAAACATCTTCACTCATTGGCGCGAACCTTGTTCGGTGAGTCCAATCTCCTTCACTCCATTTCACCCATATACATATATTGCCCTTCACTCACCCACCCACTCTCCCTCACGTCGCTCCCTTCACGCAGCTACTTCTAGGCGCTTCCGCTGGTCGCCCACCTTTCCCCCCTCTTCTCTTCTATTCAATCCTATTCTGTCCTCTTCTTCCACACTCACTCATTGTACCTTCGTATTGTGCTTGCACAAGGGCTTGAAGTCCTCTCTCCATTACTTGAATTATATCAAGTGCAACGCACAACGCACAACGCTCACTATTTTTGTTGCTCCACCAACACGCCCTCTTTGCATTCTTCGCTACACACACAACGCAAAGCCACGAGCTTAAAAGCAAAAACTTCCTCGTCCTTCCGGTACTGACGATCCAAGTTTACACATTCCCTACAACCCAACCACTACTTTCTCACTCACTGTTTCCATTATACAACATTCATCATGGTCGCAGCCGGCATTACCGCGCTGCTCCTTGCGCTGAGCACTTTCTCTTCAGTCGTCCCTTCGTCTGCTGCGCCGGTCGCTCAGGCTGGGACTCCCGCAAAGGCTGCATCCAGCTACTGGGTCGCCAACGTCAAGCACCAAGGTGCCGCCGCCTTCAACCCCGATCCCGCCGGCTACAAGGTTTTCCGCAATGTCAAGGACTTTGGCGCCGTTGGTGATGGAGCTGCCGACGACACTATTGCCATCAACAAGGCCATCGCTGAGGGTAGCCGTTGTGGTGAGAAGTGCGACTCCTCCACCACCTCTCCTGCGCTCGTCTACTTCCCGCCAGGCACCTACATGATCAGCAAGCCAATCATCCAGTACTATTACACCTCCTTCGTTGGAGATGCTCTTCAGATGCCCACTCTCAAGGCCACAGCGGATTTCAAGGGCATGGGTCTTATCGATGCCGACCCTTACATTGAGGGAGGCAACGGTGCTAACTGGTTCACCAACCAAAACAACTTCTACCGACAGATCCGCAATATGGTCATCGATATTTCTGGTGTCAAAGGCCCGGCTGCCGGTGTTCATTGGCAGGTCTCCCAGGCTACTAGCATCCAGAACGTTGTCTTCAACATGGCCAAGGGCGCTGATGGTGCCGAACACAAGGGTATCTTCCAGGACAACGGCTCCGGTGGTTTCATGTCTGATCTCGTCTTCAACGGCGGTGCTATTGGCGCCTTCCTTGGTAGCCAGCAGTTCACCACCCGCAACATGACATTCAATGACTGCGACGTCGGCGTCTTCATGAACTGGAACTGGCTCTGGACCTTGAAGTCCAACACCTTCAACAACTGCAAGGTTGGACTGGACATGGCCAACTCTCCCCAGAACCAGACTGTCGGATCCGTCATCCTCATGGACAGCAAGTTCGTCAACACCCCCATCGGCGTCAACTCTTCCTTCTCCGAAAACAGCATCCCCAAGACCGGCGGCACCCTCATCATCGACAACGTCGACTTTTCTGGATCCAAGACCGCAGTCCAAGACTTCAAGGGCGCTTCTGTTCTCGCAGGTGGTAAGACCATCGCTTCCTGGGCTCAAGGCCACGCTGCCAAAACCGAGGGTGGTCAGTCACGTGTCCAAGGCGAGACTCAGGGTGCTCCCCAGAAGCCCGCTTCACTTCTCGGCAAGGATGGTGGCTTCTTCGAGCGCAGCAAGCCCCAGTACGAGACTGTTGACGCTGCCAAGTTCAAGAGCTTGAAGTCTGCCGGTGCCAAGGGTGACGGCAAGACCGACGATACCGAGGCCATCAAGAAAGCCATCGACGGTCTTCAGGAAGGCGAGATCCTCTTTGCTGACCAAGGTTCCTACGTCGTCTCCGACACCATCACCATCCCCGCTGCTAAGAACGTCAAGATTGTCGGTGAAATCTACTCCACCTTCTTGGCCACCGGTGCCAAATTCGCCGACATGGAGAACCCCAAGCCTGTCTGGCAGGTCGGTGAGAAGAGCGGCGACAAAGGCACTTTCGAAATGTCCGACTGCATCATTGGTACTCAGGGTCCCGCTCCCGGCGCCATCCTCATGGAATGGAACATCAACGCCGAGCCCGGTGCGGCCGGTCTCTGGGACACACACTTCCGCGTCGGCGGCTACGAAGGCACCAAGCTCCAAGCCTCCAACTGCCAGAAGAACCCCAACGCCACTCACGACGCCAACCCCGAGTGCATCGGCTCCTTCATGCAGCTCCACGTGACCAAGCAGTCCAACGGCTACTTCGAGAACGTGTGGCTCTGGACCGCCGACCACGAGCTCGACCAGGCCAGCCACGCGCAGATCGACATCTACAACGGCCGCGGCATGCTCGTTGAGTCCCAGGGTCCTGTCTGGTTCTACGGCACCGCTTCGGAGCACTCGCAGCTCTACCAGTACCAGTTCCAGGGCGCAAAGGACATCTTCTACGGCGCCATCCAGACTGAGACTCCCTACTACCAGCCCAACCCCGACGCGACCGTCCCCTTCAAGACCAACACGAAGTACTTCGACCCGGACATGTCCACCAAGTCGGACAAGACGGCCTGGGCTGTGCGCATCGTCGACTCCGAGTCCATCTGGAACTACGGCGCGGGCACGTACAGCTTCTTCCAGAACTACGCGCAGGAGTGCGTCCCCGGACAGAACTGCCAGGAGCACATCAACGAGATTGAGAACTCCAAGAACGTCAACATCTTCGGCCTGTCCTCCAAGGCGTCGGTCAACATGATCACCACGGGCGGCAAGGGTCTCGTCAAGGATGTAGACAACCGTTCCAACTTCTGCGCTACGCTAGCCATCTTCGCGCAGCCGTAAGCAGCAGGTGTCTGTGTAGAGGCTTTTGATTTGGAGTTTTTGGCTGGTCTTGTTTTCTTTTTATCCTCGTATATATATACCCGCTTTTTCTTTTAGAGGAAAACGTTTGATCTTTATGTTATTCTTTTCTTTCCCTCTTCCTTCTAAGAGGGCCCCAATTTTCTTCTGCATTTGGAACCACCACACAACCCATCTCTCCTACTTTTTCCTTTCTACTCGAAAGAACAAATGAAATTACAAAACAATTCATCTCGTCCTGGAAGCATAACTTGTATACCCTTATTGTCTGGTGGGATAGCCAACGGCTTGGATTTGCATATTCGAGGTAACCCAACCAAACTAAACCATAACCATCCGCATGTGATGGAGCGGTTCTTGATAGATTGCAAAGAGTTAGACAGAGTATGTTTTAACTCATTTGAGGGAAAACATGAATACTACGAATTATTTCGATGGGAAACACAATCTCTTCTTCTTGTGAATTGAGTGACTGTGATATTGCAGGTTGTCTGTGTCGCCGAGTGCCTTAATCTTTTTATTGAGGGAGAAAAAAAAAAGGATGGGTAGCATAGGTAGTTTCGTTACATCGCCGATAGGTATCTTAATGTTAAATGCTTTTTAACCTAAAGTATACCTGCAATAAAAAAAATTCGTGTTATGTTATGTAAGGTCACGGAGAGGCTCGAACTCTCGACTTTGGCGTATTCATATCATCCGAGAATCAAGATATTAGCACCACACTCTAACCAACTGAGTTACGCGACCCCGTGTTTATAAATCACAGTGTGTTTTGTTCTCTTTCCGATAGCTAAACTATTTAATTAGTATTTTCGTAAAAATCATTAGGCCGGCTGCTTTGAATCTATTTTGTATTGTGTGAGCACCATACATAAAACATAGAAAAAAAAAACTTTGTTCTAATCCAACCCCTCCCCCCACACACCACACCGACTAATCTCCGTTCCGTCTCCACTTAACAACGCCCCTTACCCCCACCCACCTACCCTACTTACATACATACCATACCATACCTGGGTGCGCGCACATCGATACATAGTCTTCGTTATCCCCGCCTTACCTTCCATCCTACGTTTTGTTACTTTAATTTAACTCGTTACGCGCGCGGTAGGTAGGTAGGTAGGTAGCGGTAGTATAAGTTAACTGTTATCCGCCTAGAAAGAAAATAGTCGCGCGCGCGTAATAGTGGGTTAGATTAACTTAAGTTATGTAGGGTATATAGTAAGAGTTGATTTGCTGGAGAGCTTTTCGAGTGTTGATGGGGTAAGTATTTAGTTTTAGAGAAGAGGGGAGGAGAGGGGAGGGGAGGGGGTAAGAAAGAAAAAAGTAACACGGTAGATTATAGCTAAGTAGGTATATATCCTTCTCGTTGCAGGCGCAAATATGAGATTTGTTGCCAAAACTAAAGGGATCAATCCTATCCCATCCATCCCGTGATTCTCTGTCCCTGTCACACACACACAGTACCTTTTTTTTTTTTTTTTTTTTTTTTTTTTTTTTTTTTTTTTTTTTTGAAACCTCTGGTTGTTGTTCTGAAGACCGTTTCTTTTTGTGATTGTTTTCTCAAGTGTCGGTGGACAATTCCCCCGCGGTCGATCGACGTGTTTCTTTAGATGGAAATCCCACGGTTGTTAAGAGGTAAGTTGACGCGAGTTATACAGACATTTTGGGCAGTAGAATCGCTCCTCTCTGAACGGATACTTCCGTTTCGGCGCGAGTCAATTCTTGTCGTGATTGCTGGAAACTTCGTGGACCAGGGATGCTCCGTTGAGGGTTGATGTGGAGTTTGCGGTCGATGCGGTATGCTGTACGTTTTGTTTTTTAGGGGGCTTGCCGGAGAGGGGTGGTCTTGATAGATTGGAAGAGTAGACAATCAAACAGTCCACCTTAGTATTCTGTGGATAGTTTTGAATACACTTTTGTGGTATATGGTCGTGATTATGTGGGACATGATTCATACTTCTTATAACCATCATATATTGTCTTCTACCTTGCGATTTCAGCGTATATAAACCTATAGTTTATGAGTGGGAAAGCCGCACTCGGCTGACATTAAAAGATAGCATGCAGATAATCTTCGCGATACTTCATGTATCAGGTTTCAACCAAGAAACCTTCTTCCAAAGCCACCTTTCTTGCTCTCATCTCTCAACTCTCATCTCTAAATCTATCTACCCACACGAAGCACACTTCAGATGATTGCACCTCTCCAAACTAGTACTCCTCTGACATTGCGACTGATAACTACGGTTCCAGCCTTGACATGAGGACTAAGCACAGCGTTAAGCATTCACCAACACTTCTCCACAATATATGGTGTACTGAACTCACGCATTGCCAGTCTCCGCTGTAATCCTCGGTGCACTCGCTGCACTTTGCATGGTCGCACAGAGTTTCGCTTGTGACGTGGTCGCAGCGGTATTGTCCCTCGCCCTGATCCGTGTTACAGTCGCACTGTTTGTAGTGAGTAGGCTGCCTTCACCAAAAGTTTCTTGGGGATTGTCCGACATACACAAGTCCACGCCATTTTCTTGAGTGGTGGTGATGCGGTTATGGGCGGAGTGGGATGAAAGGTTGAGTGTGGTTCTGTGAGTGAAGCTGAGCATGAGAGGGAGAAGGTAGAGGAGAGTCAATATATATTTGAGGGCTATGAGAAGAAACTTGGATGCTGCGTTCTCACCACAAGGCTGAGGTCGCCAAGGCATTGATACAGATCACGTTTCCTTGGATGATGCGTTTTCACCGGAAGGCTGAAGGCGCCACGGCATTAATTACAATCATGTGTCTTTGGCAGCTGCGAAAATTTTATTTCTGCTTACAGCCTGGCTTCTAAGAAGCCCGGTGCCTGCGTTTTCTTTGGCCGCAGCTATCAATCCAAATCCCCGTGGTGCGGTACTTGAAAATTTGTCACGAACCATTCGTACGCAAGGAGATAATCAATCAGCTCCTCACTAAAACATAGTTGCGTATGTGGATCTCCCTCTGCGAATAAATGCCCTAAATATTTAATCCACCTTTAGGATTTAAGACTATTGCAATAATCTAATCATATTGTAACGTTATGTAATATAATAGCCTACTGGCAAATACACCAACCTACTAGTGAGGATTTGTAAAATATATCTATATCTGTTACTAGATACGAAAATAGGACGACCTAAGGTGTTATTTTATTAAGAGGGGCAGTCCTAATCAAGATAATGAAAGGCACCAATAAAACCATGTCCCAAGGACCTGCAGCTGGTCACCTGCTTCCCGAATGTCATCAGCCTTGTTGCCCCGCACCTATACAGGATCTGGGAATTGCGCTGGTGCTGATCGAAATCCGCCGCATCTCCAGTATTGCTACTGCCTAGGCATTGCTACTGCCTAACTAAGGGTCGCTACTGCCCATGAACCGCTACTGTCTACGGCCATCTACTCTAGGTGCTAACCCTCGTGATTCCCTCAACACCTTCCAACCAACATGATCTATCATCGATATGAATCACTACAGCACAACGACTCTATCCGGATTCTGGCCTTGCATCCAAGCTCGAGCGATTTAGACCCTATCTTGTGCACCATGCAATACGCACGACTATCTGACCCATCTCTTGAATACGAAGCAGTGTCGTATACCTGGGGCAACGCCACTCTAACAAAGACAATCCAATTCAATAATGGTAGGGAATCACAAATTGTAGGGAAGAATTGCCATGCCGCTCTTCGGCGTTTGCGACTAAGAGATAAGGACCGGTTGATTTGGATTGATGCAATTTGTATCAATCAGGAAGACATACCAGAGCGAACCTGCCAGGTCCGCATGATGGATCAGATCTATAGTCGCGCATTTAATATCGCGGTGTATCTTGGCGAACATACCGCAGGGAGCCGTTTGGTATTTGAGGAGCTGGCGGCGGCAGATGAGGAGCTAAGACAGACTGGAGACTGCGATCGACCGTATCCAAGTGAGAACATTGTTCAAGAACTGGAGATTCTGTACCAACTACCATGGTTCAAAAGAGTTTGGGTTCTACAAGAAGTCTGCTCGAAACCCTCTGTCACAATTTTATGTGGCTCTTCTAGTGCGTCCTTTGATACTCTCAGAGACCTACATTTTGGTTACGAGCAGGACTATCGTGTGACCAACAGCGTTTGGCCTTTGCCTCTGGAACTCATCCACAGACCCTTAAAACGCTACTCAACACCCCAGTTCAATCTGTGGAATCAATTATACGCAAGCCGAAGCTGCTTGGCAACTGATCCCAGAGACAAAGTCTTCGCTCTCAAGTCCTTGATCGGCCCTGCACAGTCAGAAATGGAGTTCTTGATCGATTATACAAAAACTGTCGAGCAGTGTTTCGTGGAAGTTGCAAAATTCCTTTTGCCGGTCTTAGGACTTCGAATACTCACTGCTATTCGCCACCGACACAAGAAAGACATGCCTTCATGGATTCCCGATTGGGCCCAAGATCTCCCACTCAATTTCATTTACTTTGAGATTTTGTCTTGGGAAGAGAGTCTCAACCAACCCACGCGAAAGCTGAAGCCTCAAGATTACCAAAAGCATGAGATCCGTCCGATTCCAGTTGAAAAGAGCGAGAACCGTCTTGAGTTACTTGCCACAGGGTGTGAGTATGCTCATATAGAAGATACCAGCCAAGTTTTCTTGTTCCACGATATATTCGATGCAAAGAAACAGATGGAATGGCTGTTTTCGTATCTTGGTCATCTTGCAAAAACCGTGGAGAATGATCGCGATATGACCCATCAGCTTGGAAATAGGATCGTGGATGGTGAGTGAAAAAGCTGTATTGCATAAACGATCTGGCTGGCTAACTGGTTAGCTCCGTCAAACATACATGGTGATGAGCTTTACAGGTATCTGACACGGGGGACACGATTCGGAAGCGTAAGTGGTGTCCCTTTCGGGGGAGCATAAGAATTTTCCTGCTAACGAATTATTGAGTGAAGCTGGGTCAGAAAGAACCAATTGATAATGAGGATGCTGTGGCCTTCTTCGAGTCTCTCCACCAATGCAGAATTAGCCTTATGGGGAACAAAGAATTGGCTATTGTACCGGCATGCGCAGAGCGAGGAGACGTCGTTTGTATACTTTCTGGTACTGATGCGCCATGTGTGTTGAGGTCAGGCCAACCTGAGAACTGGACGCTCATTAGTGGCGACTGCTATATATTTGCGGACAGCTATATAGACGGAAATGGGTGGTTTTTAAGTGACGACTTCATGCTAAGTCGTGATCAAAGAGCCCAACAATTCAAAATTCGATAGTATGAAGCTTTAATATGTAACCTCTGGTAATTAGCTCTCCACCTTACCATATGTCATAAGCGTCCTGCGTTGTAGCAAGCAAATCTATCGTTCTGGATCTAACTAATTTAGTTAAACTTTTACTCTAATAACGGTGTAATGGAAGATTGCGATTGTGCGTAAGGACTAAAACTGCTTTTTATGGTTACAAGAAAGGGGCTACTGAATGCAAATGCAACAGATAGTAGAAGCTTAGAAGACTGCTATAAGTGTTGGAGAGTGTTGTAGGAATCTCAAGTTTAACTTTGAAATTAGAGTAGACTAACTAGAGGTAAGCTAACGCGATGCGGGTAGGGTACCGCTACCTTGCATATTGTCAGAAAAGCCATCTACCTTAATTTTTCTTCCCTCCGTTCTTCTACCAGTGGAGGTGCCAATATTTACAGCATCTTACCTACCGCTCATCACACCAATATTTAAACCTCATAAATCTT